TGTTCAAATGTCTCTGTACCTGTGGTACCCTCTGCCTATGAGATGGGAAATGGAGAGAAAAGTCAGTGAAACTGAATGGGGTCTGTCAATCCCCAAACTCAGCAACAGAAATCACCCTGCCCTCTTACTTTATCATTAGACAAGGAGGCAGGAACAAACCAGCATTTCCTTTTCTGTTCACTTTAGGAATTTAGCTGATTATTGTTCCCCAGTTCAACCTCATCTTAATTTTTCTCTAGTTTCCCTATTAATTAATCGCATGCCAGTCTGCTGGCACCTCAAATACAAAAGCTCTCCTATTTGTGAACTAGTCTCTGCCTGATGCAGGGCTTCAAACCAGTTCAAACTCATTCAGTCATGGCTGACGAAGTGAAATCGGAACAGACCCAAATTTTTTAAATTTAGGTGAAGCAGAATGATAAGTGGAATGGGGAAAATGACAGGTTGAAGCCCTGGAGGGGACTCAGAAGAAGCATAGTGAACCCTTTCAGGAGCCTGATGCATGACACTGGATTATTGACAGGACCGTGGAGATCGACATACACTCAAAGCATTGCAGTCGGCCACCATCTTTGAGTGGGGCACTGCTGTTTCTGACTGCCAGTCAAGAGATTTGGTTGCTATGCAGTGCGCATGCTGCCCTTGTTTTCTGAGAGAGATTAAGTTTCTAGCAGAGCTTCACCCGTAACTTTTCCCCTTCCACTTATCTTTCCACTTCACCCACATTTTAAAAATTCGGGTCCATTCGGGTTTAGCTTTGTCAGCCATAAATAAACCAGGCAGAACTGGTTCAAAGCCCTGGTCTGACTACCACTCTGACTCCTGCATTGTGGAGAGGGGCTCTTGTGTGCCTCGACCAGGCTCTCTCCTCCAACCGGTTGCTGTATGAATGATGCTCCAAAGCACTCCATTTAGATGCTTTAATGCCAATATGATTATGCCAGACAGGAAGAACCTAGCCAGAGAGAAGTCCTGTTGGAGCTAGTGCAAATGCCAATAACATTGGCACTCCTAGGGGCTGGACAACAGGTGAACACATTTGGCAGCCTCATGTCTTATCCCCTCTGCCACATACAATCATCTGGGCTCGTCACAGTCTGAGTCCCACACTCCAAGGGATGAACAAGGGTGTGCCTTTGTAAAGGTCAGAAAATTATCTCAGTGAAGACCTGTCTCTGATACCTCCTTGTCATGGATTGAACTGTGTCCCCCCAAAATATGTGTCAACTTGGTTAGGCCATGATTCCTAGCATTGTGTAGTTGTCCTCCATTCTGTGATTGTAATTTTATGTTAAAGAGGATTAGGGTGAGATTGTTACACCCTTACTAAGGTCACATCCCTGATCCAATGTGAAAGGAGTTTCCTTGGAGTATGGCCTGCACCACCTTTTATCTTACAAGAGATAAAAGGAAAGGGAAATCAGCAGAGAGTGGGGACCTTATACCACCAAGAAAGCAGTGCCGGGAGCAAAGCACATCCTTTGGACCTGAGGTTCCTGCACTGAGAAGCTCCCAGAAAAAGGGAAGACTGATGACAAGGACCTTTCTCCAGAGATGACAGAGAGAGAAAGCCTTTCCCCGGAGCCGGTGCCCTGAATTCGGACTTCTAGCCTATTGGACTGTGAGAGAATAAGCTTTTCTTTGTTAAAGCCATCCACTTGTGGTATTTCTGTTATAGCAGCACTAGATGACTAAGACACTCTTTTACACCACTAATTTAAAGGGTTAGGTGACAGGGCACAGTGGCTAAAAGCAGGTGATGAGGAGTACAGCTAGACCCAGGTTCAAATCCTGCCTCTATCTCTAACCAGCTGTGTAACTTTGGACAACTTTCTAAATCTCTTTAAGCCTCTGCTTCCTGATTATAAAATGGAGGTAATAAAGTCATCTTCCCAGTGGGGAATTTGGAAGATTTCAATGAGATAATGCACACAAAACACTTAGTACAGAGCCTAGGTCAAAGTGTCCAGTGAATGTTAATTATTACTTTTACATATAACAATAGCTGAGTACCTACAATGTATCAACATGGAGGCTCTAAGGCCTCCCCTAGTGCTCAACTGTATTTGTATTGGAAGATGAATTAGAGTAAGAGACTTGGGCCTTGGGCCTCAGACCTCAGGATTTGTTATGCCATAACACAAGGAGATTCTTAATAGTGAGGCCAAGCCCAAGGAGGTACAAGTAGGTTAATTGGCCACCTAAATGTAGCCAGCTTGCATGGAAGGGCAGTTTAGACCTACGTGGATTTACAAGAAAACTCTGTACACCAAGGTGCATTCAAGAGTCTCAGACACTTCTCACTCATACTAGTAAGTTTTCATACCATAATAATAGAATGTTAGTGCTAAATGGGGGCTTAGAGATCATCTGATAGAAAATCTTCATTTTAAAATTGAGGAAACAGAAGCCTAGAGGTCAAGGAGCTTACCTGAGGCTTCACACTGGGCAACAGGAGCCCAGGAGTAGAACTTGGGCTTCCCGAGCTCAGGGTCAATGTTCTTTCCATGACGCCACACCCTTGTCAAATATGTGAGTAACAGATTAGAATTGATAACACTAATCATTTCTGTTCGTTCCAGCCACTGAAAATACATTATCTATGTGCCAAGATAAATGAACTATCTGATTAGATGTTTAGAAAATTTAGAACTCAAGCAGGTAAAAACTGGAGGTCAGGTAGTAAGAGCATCTGGGCCCTACACAAGTTCTGCCCTAACCAACCATGGAATCATTTGACTCCTTTGAGATTCTCTTTCCTCCAGGGCAGGAGGATGGCAAACTTTTTCTTTAATGGGCCAGATAATAAATATATTAGACTTTTCAGGCCATGTGGTCTCTGTTGGAAGTACTCAACTCTGCTATTGTAGCGTGAAAACAGCCATAGAAACTACGTAAATGGATGAACGTAGCTGTGTTCCAATACAACTTTATTTACGGACATTTGAATTTCACATAATTTCACATGTCATGCAATACTGTCCTTCTTTTGAATTATTTCAAACAGTTAAAAATGTAAAAACCATTCTTAGCTTGCGGACTGTACAAAAACAGGTGGTGGGTCTGATTTGGCCCTTGGGCTGCAGTTTGCCAACCCCTGCTCTAGGAAATAAGTTCAGTGATATCTGCTCCATCTAGTTCATGTAGCATCTGTGAAATGTTTTACAAGGAAATATATCAATTACATAAAAATAGGAAGCCCTGGTTTGCCTGCAGTTTGAAAAAAAAAATCTGAAGATTTTAGTTAACTACAAATGTAATGCAAACCAAGAGTGTAACACAGATATTGAAACATGAATGTAGTTCTAGATTGCTTTAACAGAATAATAGCACCCAGGCTGTAAAAAGAAATGACCCCAATATATTTGTTTACAACACATGTTTATTTCTGAGTGCCAATTTTAAGAGGACTATAAACAAACTTGGTGGTATCCCCTAAAAGGGAATAAAGATGTTGAGAGTTATTAAAACTATGTTTTACCAAAAACAGTTGCAGGGAGGAAGGGATTTCGAATGACAGGGGAAGGATGAGACTTATCTAGAGAGCAGAACTACAGCTGACGGACAGAAGTTAAAAAAAAAAGGTAGACATCAGCCCCGAAAAAATAACTTTCTAAGAGCTGGAGTTATTCAATAGTGTGATGAGCTATCTGACATGCAGTGAGCTCCTCATCACTGGGCATATTCAAATAGAAGATAGCTAACCATTTGCCAAGGATGCAGTATAGGTGCCACATTGCCTAGAAGAGAAGTTCAACTAAATGACCTGGAAGGTCCCTTTTTGGCTCTAAAATTATGTGAGTATATAAATAAGTTAATGAATAGAAAGTACTTTGAAAATTTGGCTACCCCTGAAAAATTACAGGACCATACTCAGCCGGGTGTGTATCCTGTGCAAAGATGGAAAACATTTCCCATTGCTGCTATATGGAGACTGGATGTGGAAGACAAAGGGAGTCTTCAGTGGCCCCATGTAAGCTCTCTCTTACCCAAAATCCTGGAGGACAGTGAAAAGGTCCCCAACTTTCCCAGCTCCCATTCAAACCAGCCTCACCACTGACCCCCCAGCCCACTTCCCAGAGTCATGGCTTCCAGAGTTATGTGCATGTGGCCCAGGTGGTAATGGGCATGGGGCAGTTTGTCTCCTTGGCTCTTCCCTCAAGTTCAGCTTGATCTTGTGTTGGAACCAAACAATGGGTGGGTATGGATTTAGAAAGATTTCAGTAACTGGATTCCTGGTAAAGCAATGGGTGGAAGAGATGAGTCACCCAGAAAAATAACTAGTTATTCAAAGCAGGGCTTCAAATTAATTCTGCCTGGATCAGTCACAGCCAACAAAGTGAAACCTAAATTAATGCAAATTTTTAAAATATGAGTAAAGCGGAACGACAGTGGAATGGAAACATTACAGGTCAAAGCCCTGCTAGAAACTTAATCACCCTATTAGAAAACAAGGGCAGCATGCATGTTGCATAGCAACCAAATCTCTTGACCAGCAAAGTCAGAAACAGTAGTGCGCGGCTCAAAAATGGCAGCCAACACATTGCTTTGAATGTGTGTTGCTCTCCACAGTTCTGGCAATAATCAATCACACACATGAGCCTCCTGAAAGGGCTCACTATGCCTCTTCCAAGACTCCCATTCCAGAGCTTCAACTCATAATTTTTCCTATTCTGCTTATCGTTCCACTTCACCCAAATTTTAAAAATTTGGGTCTGTTCTGATTTCGCTTCGTTGGCCATGACTGAACCAATTCAAACTGGTTTGAAGTTCTGATTCAAAGGCAGATCATAGGAAGGAAAAAGGGGCAAAAGAGAGACATGGAGGAGAATGGTATCCTCCAGCCTCCCTCCTAGAGTCCCCAGAATCAAACTTTTCTCAGCTCTGAGCTGTGAGCTGAGTGGAAGGTCCCACTCCCTGTTCCAGATAACCTAGTGCCCAAAGAGCCGTTTCTACTGGCATGAACTAACTTTAGGTGTTTAAATGAAAGAGCATCTTACCCTTCTCGTTCATCATCCGTGTTGTAATATACCTGTGGAACAAAACAATAGGCTTACTGTAGTTCAGACAAATGGAAATATTTTGCATGATGCACAGACTTTCCTAAGGCATTCATTGTCTCTTTAAAAAAAAAAAAAAAGACAAAACTGTTAAATGAGGCTCTGTGTGCGTGTGTGTTTCTAAGGAAATGCAAATTTAACCTTCTCACATTCTGCCTAGGGTTAATTCTTAGATTTTAATGAAATAAAATTGGAAATCTGATGATTTCTGGCTAAAGGCAGTCTATCAGATTACCTATGGTCTGAAGCCAAATCTTGCTCTTGACATTAAGAAAATCTTTTGGCAGGATCTGACAATCATTGTTTCAAAGGGCTCTGCTGGCAAAGTGGCTTCCCGAAGAAGAGTCTGTGAGTACCCAATCCCATTTTGTCCCCACAGGGCACTGTGCTGTTGGGGAGAGGATGGGGAGCAAGAGGGCCTGTGGCAGTACGGCAGTAACCCCAGGCCTCTTGTTTTATTGCCTAATAGGCCTTGGGTACCTGGCATCCTGCAACCACAGACATTTAGGATTCAATACTCTGCAGGCTGGGAAAGGACATTTGACTCTAGAAGGTGTTCCTGGCCACAAGGAGAATCTCTGATGACAGACTTCTTTAGGTGGTCAGCAGGGTGGTAGGCAGAATCAATTAAAATCAGACAGGCAATTTTTGAGAAATTATGAAACATCCTTGAATATTTTTGTCTATTTTTTTAAAAACGGTGGTA